GAATTGGCGCAACAATGCTAATACGATTGCTCAAACATGTTGAGCAGTTCCCACAAACGTTGTGGCTTTCAACTCTAAAGATAGCTACAAGGGTAGCTAATATTAGTGTTAGCGTGACAATGCTACTAGCTACATTGCGAGGAGCTTTCAGGAAGTTCATGATCGCAGTGATCGCTGAACCTCAATCTATCGATCGGTCGATTGATGTTCCAGAAAAGTGGTTCCCAACCATTTTTGTTTGGTGAAGCCCCGAACCCTTTCGTCATTCCATACGTACCCACTCGCCCGGCCGGGTTGGTGATTCTCCAAAAGGAGAACTTTAACACAGTTTATTTGATGAAAATCATTTTATTTCGTCTCCTTAACTTTTAACACAAATTCTCAGGCATGATCTTCTTTTCATTCAAACAAAAAAAATCTGATGTGTTGAACATATATCACGTAAACATGAAATCAAAATAAACATGCCTTTGTCATACATAACTCTGATAACATTTACCACAAAAAAAAAAAAAAACACAAAAATGTAGCGCGATTGAATACGTTTAAACTGTAACTATCAGGAACACTTCACTTTTATTGACGGGCTTCTGAAATGACTCCGAATATTTAGTTCTCATCTTGGAAATACATTTTTAAATGTTTCCATGTACCCCCTGCAATGTGCTCACATTTCCCTCATTAGGAAACACTGCTCTAAAGCCTGAACGTTGATTACACCTGTTAACGGCTAATGTCCAGTTAGCATTGAAGCTTAGCATGCTGCCCAGGACCGAAGCCGAAACCAGCCGAGAAGAAGTCCATTTAAAACAACATGATTCATGCGATTGGGCTGGTGTTCTTGTAAATTCCAGTTGCAGTCGACAGAATTCAGCCCGGCGGAGAAGCCCGCTCAAGGTACGCCCCCAGGGAGATTCCAGGACCATGTGCTGGGTTCAAAAGCCCTAATGTGTGTGTGTGTGTGTGTTATGTGTGCATGTGTGTCTTCCACAGGTGTTCAGGTAGAGTGTGTCTTCATCATTGTGCAGTGTGTCGGCCATGTTGTGGTGATGTGTGTGTGTGTGTGTTTGTGTGTCAGAACGGAGCTAATGCCATGGACCGAGGCCGCTCGCTGCCCAGCGTGCTGGAGCTCAAGGTAAACATGTGACCCTGTGATGACATCACGCGGGTGCACATGTCCCGAGTGGTCGCCGTAACGACGCTCTCCTCTGTGATGACATCACGCGGGAAAAACATGTCCCGAGTGGTCGCCGTAACGACGCTCTCCTTCGTCAGATTTACCCGTATGAGACGCTCGTGGTCAACCACAGAGGACGGAATCAAGTTCCTCCTGGCGTCGACAGAACGCAATTGGAGGTAACGGTATCAACGTGAACAACTGATCAAAGTGCTAATAGATGCGAGCAACGAGCGAGAGAGTATCCGAAGTCGAGAAAGGGCCTAGGCAGATTGATTTGGATTTCATATCTTGAGTTGGGTTTTTTTTCTTGTGATAATTGTTAAATGAATAAGATGTTAACAAATGCTTACATGACCATAGAGCAGGGGTGTCAAACTCATTTCACATGGTGGGCCACATACGGCCTTGGTAGATGTCAAGTGGGCCGGACCATTAAAATGATACCATACTTTGCTATAAATAACCAAAACAATGTCTTTCCTTTGTTTTGGTATAAAGAAGCACAAGAACATTAGGAAAATGTTGAAATTTAATGAACATATCTTTTACAAAATATTTCATGAAGCACCTTACATTTTCTTCGACAAATGTGCAATTTACTTTTATCATTCACATATATGCATTGCAAATGATCCCACTGATTGTACAAACATTAACAAGTAATTGGTATTGAAAAATATAGTAATGCACTTTAAGATTAAACGAGATTCATAAAGAAAGGAAGTTTTAAACCATTTACACTGCCGGAGGAATTTGAGCAGCTTTCTCTCTGGAGGCGGAACCACCTAAAGAAGAGGGCGTGTCTCTTTTGACTGCCACGCACAGCCCGCTGGAGACACGCCCGCTCTACACAAGCTAACAAGCTGAGAGAGACGCTAACATTAGCATGAGATGGGATTGCTAAATCATGTTGGGGCAGGCAACGCAAACATTGTTGCTTTCAACTCCGAAAGAAGGAGCTGTCACCGATGCTAATGTCAGAATTGGCGCAACAATGCTAATACGATTGCTCAAACATGTTGAGCAGTTCCCACAAACGTTGTGGCTTTCAACTCTAAAGATAGCTACAAGGGTAGCTAATATTAGTGTTAGCGTGACAATGCTACTAGCTACATTGCGAGGAGCTTTCAGGAAGTTCATGATCGCAGTGATCGCTGAACCTCAATCTATCGATCAGTCGGTCGATTGATGTTCCAGAAAAGTGGTTCCCAACCATTTTTGTTTGGTGAAGCCCCGAACCCTTTCGTCATTCCATACGTACCCACTCGCCCGGCCGGGTTGGTGATTCTCCAAAAGGAGAACTTTAACACAGTTTATTTGATGAAAATCATTTTATTTCGTCTCCTTAACTTTTAACACAAATTCTCAGGCATGATCTTCTTTTCATTCAAACAAAAAAAATCTGATGTGTTGAACATATATCACGTAAACATGAAATCAAAATAAACATGCCTTTGTCATACATAACTCTGATAACATTTACCACAAAAAAAAAAAAAAACACAAAAATGTAGCGCGATTGAATACGTTTAAACTGTAACTATCAGGAACACTTCACTTTTATTGACGGGCTTCTGAAATGACTCCGAATATTTAGTTCTCATCTTGGAAATACATTTTTAAATGTTTCCATGTACCCCCTGCAATGTGCTCACATTTCCCTCATTAGGAAACACTGCTCTAAAGCCTGAACGTTGATTACACCTGTTAACGGCTAATGTCCAGTTAGCATTGAAGCTTAGCATGCTGCCCAGGACCGAAGCCGAAACCAGCCGAGAAGAAGTCCATTTAAAACAACATGATTCATGCGTTAGCTTTTTTGGGCTTATGCAGGTGCGGACTGATGACATCACCTTCACGTGATGTCAGCCATTTTGCATCCTCTGCCATGCGAGTCATCGCCATTTTGAATGATGATGACATTTTGGATATGACGTAAAACAAAAAGGAGATTAGCGCTTTGTTTTGACAGTTTTGGAGTAAATCTAAGCCACTAACTTCATGTTTATTGTTTTTATTTCTATTTGTTGGATGTTTTTGATGACGTTTATGTGACATGCTTGCTGCATGCGTGATCTTAACATGTGAGAGGATCAAAAACTAATCAGCACTGAATGAAACATCACAGTGTGCTCTTAGCTCATTGGCATTTATTCTTATCAATTTCATCTATTATAAGGCAATTTCAGAGATGTAATGCTGTTGTTGCTCATGTGGATGATTGAATGTGATGTGATCGATGAAAACAATAAACTTTATATTCCTCCAACTGTTACTCTAAGATGAAATTTAGATTCAAAAAGAAAGAAAAAAATATTTCATAAACAAAAAAGTGATGCGTATGAAACCATTCAAGTCTGTTACCTTGTGTAGAAAACAAAAAATAAGTTAAAGGCGTCGGTGTCACAGTCGTGACCGAAAAGATAATACCCATCGGGAAGTCACATTGTCACATCACTTGGCCACGTGGTCGCATGGCGCGCGGTCACTTCGTCACACGGTTGCGTTGCCTTCAGGCAGCAGCTTTGGTCTCCCATTCCTGTTGGAGACCACAAACACGTGTCACCGTGGCAACGCACCCGTAACTTAATAACGATCATGACATGATATTTAAGACGAGAAGAGTGACATGAATTCAACGAATAAGAAGCCAGAAGCATGTGGATGCTGACCTTCCTCCTCTGGAAAACCTTCCCATGCTCGATGAAGAGTGTGGATGGGGCTCGTCTCAGCGAGGTCTTCACAGATGCCGTGCGACGCAGGAGAGGGTTCAGCAGACTGGCCTAGACCGGCATCAACCAGGGAAAACATCAGAAACCAGCAAGGACAGACGAGTCTAGTGGAGACCAGCGAGGACCATGGAAGACCAGATCAGACAGAAAAGACAGGCACAGACTAGTCTAGAGTCGCTGGAGACCAGCGAGGACCATGGAAGACCAGATCAGAGCATTAGAAACTAGCAAGGCTGGAGACCAGCAGAAACTAGCGAGGATCAAGACAAACCAACAGAGAGTAGGAGGAACGAGAAAGCATAATGGACACCAATAAGCAGAAGAAAACAATCAACAAGAGACAGTTAGGAACCAGCAGAAAGCAACAAGGACAAGGACAGATAACTTTTTAAAAAAAGTCCCATAAAAACCAACAAAAATCACAGGAGACAAGTGGAAAACGAGAGATGAGGAAAACTCCCTGTAGAAAGAGTTGAAACAGGCTTAAGCTATCAGGGCGAGCTAGCTAGCTAGCTAGCTAGCTCCATGACAGCTGATTAGAAATCATCAGCATCTGCTTGGGAAGCATCAAATGAACACGTGGGCGGGCTTTAACAAAAGATGTTTACTGATTGGCCGGCAATCACCTGCGCCCGCTCGCCGCACATGGTGAGCGATTGTCTGAAGGAGGAGCGTTTATTCTTATTGCTTGCCGACACCAGGTTAGCCTCGGACCCCGCCCTCACGGGTACGCTTTTCCTGCCCGTCAGCTCCAACTTCTGAACGCCACGTGGCGCTACTTCAGACCACTTCCTGTCTGAAACACATCACATACACGCACTTGGGCTCAGGAGCTACGTTGCGGCTAAGTGGGTAAATTCACTTTG